CCCTGACGATAATTCCGTACAGTTCTGACCACTGGCAACCTTTAAATGATTATTAACAATTGTTATCAGCATATCACTTGTATTAGAGTGATATGCTTCTACGACTAGTTCTCGGCTCGTTCAAAATTTTAAACAACAGTTCTAAACTCCCTGACGATAATTCCGTACGGTTCTGACCACTGGAAACCTTTAAATAATTATTAACAATTATTATCAGCATATCACTCGTACTAGAGTGATATGCTATGCTTCTGCGACTAGTTCTCGGCTCGTTCGAGATTTTAAACAACAGTTCTAAACTCCCTGACGATAGTTCCGTACAGTTCTGACACTGGCTACCTTTAAATAATTATTAACAGTTATTATCAGCATATCACTCGTACTAGAGTGATATGCTATGCTTCTGCGACTAGTTCTTGGCTCGTTCGAGATTTTAAACAACAGTTCTAAACTCCTTGACGATAATTCCGTACAGTTCTGACCACTGGAAACCTTTAAATAATTATTAACAATTATCAGCATATCACTCGTACTAGAGTGATACACCCAAAAAAAAATATTCTGCAGTTTAGCGGTTCCTGGTTCATGTTAGAGGATTTTCCTCTGAAATAGGGCCTTAAGAAGATGTTTTAAACTGTAGAGGAATATCCTCTAATCATGAGACTCTAGATTCAAAATTGTGCAGTCCTCTTAATATTAGAGGACATTGATTTCCGATATTCACCCAAAATAAATAAAAAAAATTATTTATTTTGAAATTTTATTACTATTTTATAACTAAATTTGTTTCTTAAGATGTAGTCTATGATTATAAATATTTTCTTGTATTGGAAAAAACACTTACCTTGGTGGGATCGAACTCGGGACCTCTGGATCGTGAGCCAACTGCCTTACATGGTAGACCACTTCTTAATTTGATGTAAGTGTTATATATTGTCTACATAACCAGCGCAAATATATAATTTTCCAAAAATCATCTAAATAAACAAATCCAGTTTAAAAAGAGTAATAAAATTTTGAATTGGATATAAGATATATGATATAATATTTCTTAATATCGGGTGAATGTCAGAAACCAGTGCCGGCTTATTATGAAATTTTGTGTTCGTAAATATATTTATGAAAATAGTATGTTTATAAAGTTAAAACGTTAAAACATTCTTATCAAATCCTTACAAGGGCCTCAATAGACAAAAATAAGAAAACGTTTCTTATGGCATCCCTAATAAATAATGATCGGGACCTTATCCGGTTAGCCCTAATAAATAAGTATTTATGAAGTTAAAACATCCTTATCAAATCCTTACAAGGACCTTATTAGATAAAAATAAGGAAACCTTTCTTATGGAATCCCTAATAAATAATGATAGGAACCTCATCAGGTTAAAATAAGGAAATCTTTCTTATGGCATCCCTCCCTGGTAGAAATTTTGACTGGGCGCTTGCCTGGCACTGACCAGCGTTCCACACTGCCACTTCAGGAGCTGGCATGGCACGCTGGTAAGCGCCATCCGCGAAACGTCACGTTTTGCCCGCTAACGCCACAGATTTGATGTAGTGCTGGCACGGCGCTAACATGGCGGCAATAAGGTACTATCATAATGCAGACATGGGGCTAGCGAGTTTTTAACGTGGCACGTGTATGGCGCTAACATGGCGGCAATAAGGTAGTATCATAATGCAGACATGGGGCTAGCGAGTTTTTAACATGGCACGTGTATGGCGCTAACATGGCGCCAATAAGGTACAATTTCTAAATCCATATAATGCATTTATTTAAAGATTATTTATTAATTAGTTATTTTTAACAGACTGTCAATTGAACTAATAATCTATCTAATAAATTAGGAAACATGAAAATAAATATGTATTATACAATGACAAACGTGACTCTATATCAACGAGATAAAGGAAGTGGTATTAAGTTCAATAGAGAGATAAAATGACACCATTATAATTAAAAATAAAATACCTTAATATTTGGCAAATAATCACAGTCTTACATCAGCAGTTTTACATTTAATAATTTCCTATGTTCCAGATAAAAACAAAAACTTTGTACTTCTTTTCACCTAACACTATAATGCCTTTATTCGCGAGTAGAACATCGCAGCGAAATTAAACGAACAAATATTCGCTGGTCTCCAGGTAGTCTTACACATCTTTGTTGCACTTGATTCGGTCTTTTCTATGTCCTTCCCAGTCCTTTGCATTGGAAAGCGCTGCACTCAATGCCTTTACAAGACCATTCCTTGATACAGCTTCTCCTTTAAATTCTTTTTGAAGAAATATATCTAAAAATCCGAATATTTATAAAGATTTAACGTTCGGAGTCGGCGCTGCAATGACAGCAAAATCATTTCGAGAAAATATTAATTATATAATATAAAATATGTACCTTCTATACATGAGTAAAATGGTTCATCTTTCATTGTTTTCTTGCCAAGCATAGTTTTAGTAGCAGTATATGTGACTGCTATATCGCGCGTTACACAGATTTTTAAAATCGTTGTGATATTTTTTGTTAACGTTGAATTAAATTCAATATAGCGATAAAGATGCTCACACTAAAAATATAATTAATTTTATTATTTTTAACGAAATAATATATATACCCTTTTTCAAATAATAATAAATTATTATGTTTTGTAAAATAAACTCACAAAATTGGTTCGAAATTCCCTATCTTTGTCTAATTTAATATTTATATGCCCAAATTCTTCGTTTGTTTTTGCAGGTAATATTATTTCATATTTTTTAAATATGTTATCTGCATCCACGTTGATAGATTTACTGGAACTGCCTTGGTTTATTGTTTGATTTTTTATGGTTTTAGTATCAAAAAGTAGACTTTCCAATTTTTCTAATATTAAATCTAATTCTGTGAAACAAAAATAACAAATTAAGATACATGTACATACATAGACATTTCAACAGAAATTTATATATACATATTTGAATAATACATCTATATATGTTTAAAAATCTTACTTTTATTCAAGTTTTTCGAATCACTTTCCAGCATTATCAATTTCGACCAAATTGCATTTATATCAACGCTAAGCGGATCTGAATCAATTAAATTTTGTTACAATTATTAATACTTACAACAATTAATGTGTTGTCATTACTGTCATTAGTCTTTATAATAAATATAAAATTATTTATAATAAGTATATATTTGAACATTTACATCTTTACAAAAATATTGTATACCTTTATTGTTTGTATATTTTATTAAGTCATTTTCAGATATGACAGGTAATTGCGTATCAAGCAACATTATAGAAGGTAACTGATCTGAAAAATGGTAATTTTAAGGATAAATGTAGTCTGTATGTATGTGTGATATTGGGAGGTGTAAAAAAAATAAAAAATAAGAAAGAACAAAAAACTCACTATTTGATAGTCCTGATTCTGGTTCTAGTTCTGATTCAGATGTTTTTGCAGTTGGTACACTAATACTTTTTTCCGTAACATTCTTCTCCAATAATTTTGACCTTATAGTCGTAAACTTCTTCTCCGACAATTTTGATGACTTCATAGCAGATTTATGTTCATCTACAATTAATATAATGTAATATTAAAGCCTGGATTGTGTTTAGT